TACATAATGAACCACCACTATATATTTAACGAACATTTTAGGCTGGTGACGTATACTAAAAGTTATGCGATAGGGAAACATTTACGACTGCTTCATTTTCGCGCACAGTCATCAACGTTCTTTTACAATTAGACTTTGCTGCTTTACGGGCGCACCCCCTCCCCTTTTTTTCTCGCTATCTCTCTATTTGTCTCTCTCTCTCGCTCCCTTATCTCTCTCTCTCTCTCTTTCTCTCTCTCTCTCGCTCTCTCTCTCTCTCCCTCCCTCTCGTCGCTGTCTCTTTTTCTCGCCATCTCTCTTTCTCTCGTCTCTCCTCTTCTCTCTTCTCCTCCCTCTCTCTCTCTCTCTCTCTTCGTCTCTCCTCTCTCGTCTCTCTCTCCCTCTCTCGTCTTCTCTCTTCATCTTTCTGCCGTCGTCTCTCTTCTCGTGCTCGTCTCTCTCCTTTTCTTTCTTTCTATGTTCTCTCTCTCTCCCTCTCTCTCTCTCTCTCTCTTCTCTCTCTCGTCTCCTCCTCTCTCTCTCTCTCCTCTTATCTCTATCTCTCTCTCTTCTTTTCTCTCCTCTCTCTCTCTTCTCTCACCGTCTCTCTCTCTCTCTCTCCGATCTCTCTCTCATCTGCTTTCTCTCTCTCTCTCGTCTCTCTCTCTCTCTCTATCCTCTCACTTTCTCTTTTTCTTCTCTCTCGCTCTCTCTCCTCTCTCTCTTCTTCCTCCCTCTTTCATCTCTCTCCTCTCTGTCTCCTCTTCTCTCCTCTCTCCTCTTCTCCTCCCTTTTTCTTTTTTCCTGCTCCCTCTCTCTCCTCCGCGGTGAGTAATCGGAAGAGTGTGAGTGTGGCACCGCTTGCAGGCAGCACTTTCATGGTTTCGGGCGTACCGTCACAGATGTCGGCACTAGATGTCACCGATCGCAAAGTCTGGAGTTTGTTCCCGCAATTTCTCTCGCCTCCGCGTGCGGGTCACTCTTCGGTCAGCGACGCTCGTCCGACGAAACTTGGACCGTTGCGGTGAAATCGCAAACGAAAATGTGAGCTGAAACGGATTTTCGGACTAAGGACGAGGAATTCACGGTATGGCAAGCTTATGCATAGATCGGTCTCAGCGGTACACCGCCTCTTTCTCTAACAAATAAATCCTGGTAACGATGATAGGTGGGGGGGGATAGGCCTAATCGACCAATGACGGGAATTTCTGCAAGATTATTACATATTTTTTAAATTTTTAATTAAAGTAGTTACATTTTTTTAGAAATTACATTTATTTGCCATTTCGTGATGGCATGGCAGGAAGGAGTGTAGGCGCACGCCGGAACTATCGCTGGGTTGGCTGTCATACGCGACGCATTTTTTAATTACTACACTAGCCTTATACGTTAGCATGCATTTCTCCTCGCCCTTTTGCTTAAAACGAAAAAGTCGAATGCAATTCGTTCTTTGCTCCAGCAAAAGCTATAAATCATTTGAGTATCGCCTCTTGCTTCCTGCCTTGCCTCTGTCTTTCGCGTTTCGAATTGGCGCAACTCGTTGTCGACATCGGAGCTTCGTTGCAGCTCCTGTTTTTTCTTAGGTGTTCGATGTTGGCAGAGGCGAGGCCGGAGCCAGCCCGTCGCGGACGTCACTGCACGCTGCACTCTGTTAAGTCTCGGGTTCATATCCGCGCGTACACCCACGATGTGCTGCGCCGGTTGTCACGGTACGAGTGGGTTGTCGCGCGAGCGCAGGATGCGTGGCCCGGGGCGCGCATGCAGGGCGGAAGAAGCAAACAGCGGAAGATTGTGGCGGAGAGCAAGTGAACTAGCGGTAACCTTGCGGGCAGTATGCTGACTGCTTTGTGGCCGGAGGAAGCCCGGTGTAGAGTGAAGGGAAGCTTGGGTGTGTGGCTGGAACGTCTAGAAGAAGTGCAGAAGGAAGCTTGGAGTGTGTGTCGCTGAAGTCTAGAGAAGTGCAGAGGGGAAAGCTTTGGGTGTGTTAGCGAATGTAGAGAAAGAGCAGAGGGAAGCTTGGGTGTGTGGCTGCAAGTGAAGAGAAGAGCAGCAGCTAGGAAGGCTTGGGTGTGGGCTGAAGGTGAAGAAGAAGAGCAGAGGGGAAGCTGGTGTGGGCTGAAGTGTAGAGAAGAGGCAGAGAGGAGCTTGGGTGGCTGCTAAGTGTAGAGAATGAGCAGAGGGGAAGCTTGGTGTGTGCGGCTGAAGTGTAGAGCAAGAGCAGAGGGGAAGCTTGGGTGTGGGGCTGAAGTGCTTAGAGAAGTGGGGCGTGGAGGAGAAGAGCAGAGGGGAAGGCTTGGGTGTGTGTGCTGAAGTGAAGAGAAGAGCAGAGAGGAAGCTTGGCGTGGTGGCTGAAGTGAAAGAGAAGAGCCAGAGGGGAAGCTTGGGTGTGTGGCTGAATGCAGAGAAGAGCAGAGGAAGCTTGGGTGTTGGCTGAAGTGTAGAGAAGAGCACGAGAGAAGCTCTGGGTGTTGTGGCTGAAGTGAAGAGAGAGACAGAAGAGGAAGCTTGGCGTGTGTGGCTGAAGTGAAGAGAGAGCCAGAGAGGAACTTGGTTGTGTGGCTGAGTGAAGAGAAGAGGCCCCGAGATGAAGCTTGGTGTGTGGCTGAAGTGAAGAGTAAGAGCAGAGGGGAAGCTGGCGTGTGTGGCGAACAGTGCGGCAGAGAAGAGCAGCAGAGGAAGCTTGGGTGTGTGGCTGACATGAAGATGAAAAAAGAGAAGAGGCAGGGAGAGCTTGTTGTGTGGCTGAAAGTGCAGAGAAGAGCAGAGAGGAAGCTTGGGTGTTGTGGCTGAAGTAGTAGAGAAGAGCAGAGGGGAGCTTGGGTGTGTGGCGAAGTCTACAGAGAAGTCTGGGCGTGGAGGAAGAGCAGAGGGTGAGCTTGGGTGTGTGGCTGAAAGTGTAGAGAAGACAGAGAGGAAGCTTGGGTGTGTTGGCTGAGTGTAGAGAAGAGCAGAGAGGAAGCTTGGTGTGTGGCTGAAGTGGTAGAGAAGCGAGAGGGGAAGCTGGTGTGTGGCTGAAGTCTAGCAGAAGCTGGGCTGTGAGCGGAAAGAGCCAAGAGGGGAAGGCTTGGAGTGTGTGGCTGAAGTGTAGAGAAGAGCAGAGGCGGAAGCTTGGGTGTGTGGAGCTGAAGTGCTAGAAAGAGCGAGAGAGGAAGGCTGGTGTGTGGCTGAAGTGTAGAGAAGCCTGGGCGTGGAGAAAGAGCAGAGGGGAAGCTTGGGTGCTTGTGGCTGAGTCTAGAGAAGTGCAGAGGGGGAAGGCTTGGGTTGTGTGGCTGACAGTGTAAGAACTGGCTAGGGCGTGGAGGAAAGAGCAGAGGGGAACTTGGTGTGTGGCTGAGCTTAGAGAAGTGGCAGAGGGGAAGCTTGGTGTGTGTGAAGGATAAGCAGCTGAGGCAGAGTGTAGAGGAGAGGCAGAGGAGGAAGCCTTGGGTGTGTGGCTGAAGTATCAGAGAAGACGTTCAGAGAGGACGCTTGGGTGGTGGCTGAAGTCTAGAGAAGGCAGGAGGGGAAGCTTGCGGCTTGTGTGGCTGAAAGTGTAGAGAAAGAGGGCAGGAGGCGAACTTGGGTGTGTGCGAAGTCTAGAGAAAGAGCAGAGAGGGTAAGCTTGGGTTGTGCTGAAGTCTAGAGAAGAGGCAGAGGGGAGCCTTGGTGTGCTTGGCTGAAGCTCTAAGAGAAGAGCAGAGGGACGAAGCTTGGGTGTGTGGCTGAAGTTAGAGAGAGAGCAGAGGGGGAAGCTTTGGGCTGTGTGGCTTGAAGTGTATGAGAAGAGCAGAGGAAGCTTGGGTGTGCTGGCTGAAGTGTAAGAGAAGAGCGAAGAGGAAGCTTGGGTGTGTGGCTTGAAGTGAAGAGAAGAGCAGGAGAGGAACGCTTGGGATGTGGCCTGAAGTGAAGAGAAGAGCAGAGGGGAAGCTATTGGCGTGTGTGGCTGAAGCTGAAGAGAAGAGCAGAGGGGAAAGCTTGGGCGGGTGAGAGAGTGCAAGAGAGAGAGAAGAGGAAGCTTGGGTGTGTGGCTTGAAGGTGCTAGAGAATAAGGAGCAGACGGGAAGCTTGGGGTGTGTGGGCGAAGTGAAGAGAAAGAGAGGGGAAAAGCTTGGGTGTTGATGGCTAGATAAGTGAAGAGAAGAGGAGAGGAAAGGAAGCATTGGGTGTGTGCTGAAGTGAAAAGAGGAAGAGCAGAGAGGAAGCTTGGGTGTGTGGCTGAAGTGAGGGAAAAGGGCTGTCGTAGTGAGGTAGAAAGAGCATGAGGGGAAGCTTTGGTTGTGTGCGTAAGTGTAGAGAAGAGGCAGAGAGGCGAAGCATTGCGGTGTTTGGGCTGAATCTAGGAGAAGAGCAAGGGGAAACTTGAGGTGTGTGGCGAAGTCCAGAGAAGAGCAAGGGAAGGCTTTGGGTGTGTGGCTGAAGTGGGCAGAGAAGAGCAGAGAGGGAAAGTGCGTGGTGTGGCTGAGTCTAGAGAAAGAGCCAGACGAGGAAGCTTGGCGTGTGTGGCTGAAGTGGTAGAGAAGAGCAGAGAGGAACTTGGTGTGTGGGCTACAAGTCTAGAGAAGAGCAGAGAGGAAGCTTGGTGTGTGGCTGAGTGTAAGAAAGCACGAGGGGAAGCTTGGTGTTGTGGGCTGAGTGTAGAAGAAGAGCAGAGGGGAAGCTGGAGTGGGTGGCTGGAGTCAGAGAAGAGCAGAGGGGAGCTTGGGTTGTTGTGCCTGAAGTTAGAGAAGATGGGCGCGTGTAGCGAAAAGAGACAGAAAGATACGAAATTCTGTGAGCACGCTTAATACACAGCTGTTTGTGGTCATACGTTAGCCAAAACAAGAAAGGTCAAACCTAGCCGGTGTTGATGTATCCTATCGTGTTATGGCAGGCGTAGAGACAAGCCGCGGAGCCAACTCG